GTCCATCGCCACTGCTTCTTCCACAATGATCTCCCTCCCGGCCGTCTTCTTCACCGGAAGGAAATCGCGGGAACGACGATGCGCACGCGCCGCTCGCCTTCCCTCGCACTCGCACTCGCACGCCCGCTCGCGCGCGGCTGGCTCCGTCGAGCGCCCGTGCCGCGCCGTGGCAACGCCGCTCGGTCGGTAACCCGGTCGATTCGAATCGCGGTCTATTCGCCGCGAACATTCCGCCCGCCTTCGTCCGTGGACGAACATACAGCTTGATCACCCGCCAATTCGCGGCGATCCGCACGTGGTTCTTCCCCGACTGTCAACGGGCTGAGTCCGGCTACATGTCGCCGAAAGGTGGAGGTGGCCGTTTCCACCGTGACCACCCGAACTAAATTATCCGGCCCCGGATGGACCTCTCTGACACGGCCCAACGGCCACTTGGCCGGAGGGTACCGCCCATCTTTCACAAGAACTAACTGTCCTACCTTCATGTTCTCCTCCGGAGTTCTCCATTTACCCCTCTCTTGGAGATGCTGGAGATACTCGCTCGACCAGCGAGTCCAGAAACCGTGCAACAGCCGTTGCAGCAGTTGATATCTATCCAGACGATTGTCCGGCCCTTCCAGCGGACCGTCGTCCGGAAGCAACGCTGGTGCTTCTCCGATCAAGAAATGCATCGGAGTAAGCGCACGCAAATCGTCCACGTCCTCGCTCAGCTGACTGAGGGGACGAGAATTTAGACAAGCTTCCACTTGAGCCAACCACGTGGAAAATTCCTCGAAAGTGAGCATGTGCTCCCCTATCACCCTTCGAAGATGATGCTTGGTGGATCGAACTCCAGCTTCCCACAGCCCCCCGTAATGAGGTGCATTCGGCGGAATGAATGTCCATTCCGTGCCCTCGTGAGCTAGGAGAGAAGCAGTTTCTTTATAGAATTCCGACATCCTCTCAAACATTCGCTTCAACTCCGTATCCGCTCCTCGGAAGTTAGTCGCGTTGTCGCTGTAGAGCGCGCGACAGACTCCACGCCGAGCTACGAATCGCCTGAACGCTGATATGAATGAAGCGGTGCTGAGATCACCTACCAATTCAAGGTGGATAGCGCGTGTGACGAAGCACACGAACAGCGCTATATATCCCTTATACGCCTTCTGACCGCGTCCCTTCGCGGCGCGTATCTGGAACGGACCGGCATAGTCAAGACCGGCCACAGAAAACGGTCTAGCTGGTGTCACCCTGGAAGCAGGAAGATCGCCCATTAGCTGTTGAGCCGTTCTAGGTTTAACTCGTTGACAAACGACACATTTGTGCACAACCGATTTAACTAATCGACTCCTACCAAGTATCCAAGCCTGCTGCATCAACAAGCTAGCTGTAAGCGTAGGACCACCATGGAGGCAAGTCCGATGAGCATGCTGGGCAAGCAACAAGCTCAACGCCGACTTGTGAGGCAAGATAGGAGGATTCTTGCGTTGCGCCGGGAGCTCGGAATGCGAGAGCCGACCCCCTACACGCAACAGACCATCCTTGCAAAGAAATGGACTCAACTTATTG